CAATCTGATTTCAGTATTGCCCGTCTGGTGATTTCCATGTGTAGAGTCGCCTCTTGTGTTGTTGGAAAAGAGTGTTTGTGATGACCAGCTTGTTCTCTTGACAAAACTCTATTAGCCTTTTCCTGCATCATTTTGAACATCAAGACCAAACTTACATTTTGTTCCTTTTATATCTTGACTACTTACTTTAGCATTCCAGTCCCCTATAATGAGAAGAACATCTTTCTTTGGTGTCAGTTCTAGAAGGTGTTGTAAGTCTTCATAGAATTGGTCAATTTCAGCCTCTCCAGCATTGGTGGTTGGTGCATAAACTTGGAATACTGTGATGCTGAAAGGTCTGCCTTGGATTCGTATTGAAATCATTCTCTCATTTTTGAGATTATATCCCATTACAGCTTTTTCCACTCTTTTGTTGACTATGAGGGCTACTCCATTTTTTCTACAGGATTCTTGCCCGCAATAGTAGATGTGATTCATCTGAACTGAATTCACCCATCCCTGTCCACTTTAGTTCACTGATGCCCAGGATGTCAATGTTTATTCTTGCCATCTCCTGTTTGACTACCTCCAGCTTACCAAGGTTCATAGATCTTACATTCCAGGTTCCTATGCAGTATTTTTCTTTGCAGCATCGGACGTTCCTTTCAAAGTGAGGAGGAATTAAAGAACCTCTTAATGAGGGTGAAAGAGGAGAGCGCAAAAATGGTCTGAAGCTCAAAATCAAAAAAAACTAAGATCATGGCCACTAGTCCCATCACCTCCTGTGAAATAGAAGGGGAAGAGATGGAGGCAGTGACAGATTTTACTTTCTTGGACTCCGTGATCACTGCAGATGGAGACAACAGCCACGAAATTAAAAGACGCCTGCTTCTTGGAAGGAAAGGGATGACAAACCTTGACAACATCTTAAAAAGCAGAGACATCACCTTGCCAACAAAAGTCCGCATAGTCAAAGCTATGGTTTTCCTTGTAGTGATGTATGGAAGTGACAGCTGGACCATAAAGAAGGCTGACCGCTGAATAATTGATGCTTTTGAATTGTGGTGCTGGAGGAGACTCTTGAGAGTCCCCTGGACTGCAAGGAAAACACACTTATCCACTCTGAAGGAAATCAACCCTGAGTGCTCCCTGGAAGGACAGATCCTGAAGCTGAGGCTCCAGTACTTTGGCCATCTCATGAGAAGAGAAGACTTCCTGGAAAAGACCCTGATGTTGAGAAAGTGTGAACACAGGAGGAGAAGGGGATGACCGAGGATGAGATGGATGGACTGGGTCACCAAAGCGACCAACATGAATTTGACCCAGCTCCAGGAGGCAGTGGAAAACAGGAGGGCCTGGCGTGCTCTGGTCCATGGGGTCACGAAGAGTCGGACACGACTAAACGACCAAACGAAGTGAATTTCAGAAAGCAACATCCTTCGTAGAGAGTTTGACTTCTCATCTCAGTGGAGATGGTGAGCGAGACCCACCCCTGAATGGCCAGAGAAATCTAACACGATGACTTATCTGCAGACTGACATAACCGGCAGGGGCTGGGGAGCAGAGCCAAGTATGTGAACTTTTGCAAAACTACAGCGAAGGGGTCAAGAAGTTACTTTACAGACAGCACTTCAGCATCTATTACCACTGAAGGGAGAATTAAGAGCAAAGGCAAATCTGTCTCTCTGGGACACCATGGCGGGAAGACTCATGGTGTGCACCACCTTTACACAGGCGGGGTCAGGTCGGGGAATGACAGAAAGAACATCTAAAAACAGATTACTAACAGTGGTGGAGAAGGAAAACTCCGATTTCAAACCTCCACTGCCTTGTGGCTATATCCACTCATGGAAAAGGCTTCAGGAGTTAACCTCGAGGCAAAATCCGGAGCTGGAGTCCCAAAGGCAGCATGCATCATCGCTGCTGGTGTTCCCTTGGATATCTTATTATCCCAGACCACTTTCTGGGCAAGAGTGCAAACCACATGTCAAATCATTATACGTTTCACAGGATCACGGACTCTCCACTCCCCTCTGACAGAACATTGCCCCACTTTTAAAAAATGTATGAAACTCTGTGTGCGTGTGAGAAAAGGGATGTGGAGGAGTACTGCCAAAAGGTTCTTTGAAGGTCTACTGTCTTAGACGGTCCCGAAATTGGCGTGGAAATTGAAGCAGATGAATCATTCAAACCATTCCTATTTTTATTCATATTTAACAAAGGGGTATCGATAACAACTTCGGTGGGAATAAACTGATCCCAATCGTTCAACCGTATATCAAAATGTACAACACTATCAAAACCAACGTCCTGTCTCAATATTGGGGTGCCCGGCCAAAGCGTTCCTTGTCTGTGGGCTTCCTCAACGGGGCGCTCCTCACCGCGCATATGGTGCCACAACACGGGTGGCGGGCCCAATCCCCCTCTGGGGGTGGCTTGTTGAAAGAGGGAGCTGGGTGTACCACCTTCTTCCAGGGACCTTGCCTCCTCAGGAAAACCACCACCGTCCATTCAGATGTCTCTTTCATGGTCACTCCTTCTCTCTCAGGGAATGGATCCGGCAACAAGCCCCCCGCCTTAAGATTTGGGAAGTCTTTTAATAGGTCGCTGACATGATTGCTCCTCTTCTCCTCCTTTCCTCTCTTATTGGTCTCGATCTAAAAGTCCCGCGTGCCTGTTCCCACTTTTATATCCTCTTCCCATACCTCGATCATTTGCTCCTCCTCCTTTCCCTTCCCTTCTTCAGTAAAAACAGACCTCTATCTTAACCCTTTCTTTGTCACCCCTTGGCCTTAACACCTCCCTCTCCCTTTCCTTTCCCTTTACATCCGTGTTGTCGGGAGGAGACAGCGCACTCTCATACTCCTGGCCTTCACAAGTATCCTCCCATCGACATGTCATCCCCTTCATCTTTCAGAAACTGAGGGCATTATAACCTCCACTTACAGATACAGTGGTGCCCTGCTTCATGACCACCCCGTTAGATAGCGAAATGGCATTACGATGATCGCAAAACGATAGCAATCGCAAAATGATGTTTTTATGGGGTCTTTTCGCTTCACATCGTTTCAGTCCCTGCTTTGGGAACCGATTTTTCACTTTACAATGATCTTTACAGCTGATCGTCGGGTTTTCAAAATGGCCTCCCGCTGTTTTCCAGACCTATTTCCGGAAGACAGTGATCGAAAATGGCTTCCCCTATGAAAGACGAGCAGGTATTTCCACTATTGGAACGTGTTGCCGGTTTTCAATGCATTTCAATGTTTGTTTTTTTGCTTGATGATTTCGCTGTACACCAATTTTGCTGGAATGCATTATCGTCATCAAGCGGGGCACCACTGTATTGGTGATGGAAAGGGAGGAATTTGACTCCCCTGAGCATCCCTGTCTCCCCAGGAGAAAAGCAATCTCCAGCAGACGATGGGCCAGCCATTGAGAAGAAAATTAAAATGAGGGGAAGTAGAGAAAGGGGAAAGACTTGACAGAGGAGAAAGGAGACTCACAAAAAGGAGAAAATATGACAGTAAGGGAAGTAAAGGAACAGAAAGAATGATAATTCTGGAAATTTCTGGGGAAGACCAGTGAAGGGCGTAGAGGGAGAAGGCAATCTCCAGCAGACGATGGGCCAGCCATTGAGAAGAAAATTAAAATGAGGGGAAGTAGAGAAAGGGGAAAGACTTGACAGAGGAGAAAGGAGACTCACAAAAAGGAGAAAATATGACAGTAAGGGAAGTAAAGGAACAGAAAGAATGATAATTCTGGAAATTTCTGGGGAAGACCAGTGAAGGGCGTAGAGGGAGAAGAGAGGACTCATGGAATCCCACCCAGGAGACGATCGAGAGGGGAACCTCAACCACAGGAGGAAAGGGGATGAGTCGAGAGGAAGAGATGCCGAGGAAAACTGGGCTCAACATCCAGGCTGTGACTCCTTATTTACGGGCCAATGCCAATCTCCTCCCCAAA